TAAGTACGGAAACAAATCAGGCGCAATTTAGCTTAATATCAGGTATGGCAGCATTTATTTGTTAATGTCGTATTAGAATCGAAATAATATATCCAAATAGGTGATTTTATCGCTTGATAAAATCACAGTTTGTCTTTCGGATGCGCATTATTATATCACTCGGGTTACGCCCTCGTGATATATTTCCTCGCATCGGAACACCAAACAGCGATTTTATTGAGCGATTAAAGTACAGTTTGCGATATATTATTTCTTAAATAGAATCAACTATCACTTAGTGGCACAAGTATCAATATGTCTCGACATATATCACTAATTACTATAATTATATTTACTAGATAAATACTTAGGACAGATACCATCCTATCAGTAAGGGTGTTAATCACAAAACATAACAAAAAAATTATATATAATAAACAGTGTTACAGCGTTATATATAAATTTCTGGCAGGTTATATGGCCGTATATTAACGGCTGTTTACAATATATCTTTTTAATGAAATACATAAATACAATTGTTATAATGCTTGCAAATGTATCTGAAATCAGAAAAAAAAGTTACAAATTAAAAATAAAATCTTTATTTCTAATAATATGAACATCACGACTAACCAATGAAAAGCGACATTACAAACGTGCAGTATATAAACATTTTATATACACGACTGCTGTTTATTTATGAAGAACTTATATTTATATATATTTCCAAACAACCGATTGTATACGGTCATATAATTTGTAACTAATGATATTGTTGCGTCCTGTTTGGATGGCTCTAAAATAACTGTTATTGACTTTAATATGTTCTATTATCTTAGGCCGCTTCGCTATGTAATCTTTTTAAGTACTTTATATTAAGAAAAGTCTGATGTATACCAACCTAGACTTGATACCTTCTTGTTATTTCGCTTTTACAATAAGTATAAGAATTAACACCACAGGCGCAAATATATGCTATATCATTGGCATTGTTGATAAATGTCTACTATAAATCATGATCGATGTCTTGACTCCTGGTTTCCACTGGCAATCGGTTCTTTTTCGGTACGGGTTGTTGAATGTATGATTTACACGTATAAAGGAAAAATAGATATAAAGATTTATTCTATTTGTTTGTTTGTTTCATTTTACGCCCTTTTACAACAGTATTTCAGTCATATAGGTGGGTTGTTTCCTAACCATCATTCCTAGAGACACCAGTAATAGACTACCTTCCTCCGTGCTAAACTACCAAAGCATCTTCCGGGGACCGAACCCACGTCAGAGAGGTAACTGTATTAGAAGTCATCGACTCTTACCTCTTGACCACGGAGGCGGTCTATATATTAAAATAAAGGGCAATATATGATTAAGGGCAATATATATGTTCTTATTTTACTGCGAATTTTAACTCGAATGGTGTATCATTCAACAAGAGCGAACTCAATCACATACAAAATACATCAGTTACAAAACAAAATAGTTTGATTCTATGATTCTACCTGCCAAATGAGTTTTCAATGGGAGGGATAGGAAGCGGTGCTGGTATATATATTTATATATAATTATATTATATAAATATGAAAAAGGTTGTACTCGATTGAAAAGTGAGTTACATGTCAAGCTAAACCATTAAAATTGAAATAACCGCACTGAGTTGCAATCGAATCCACCGCCGTCTGCGTTGTAATCTTTATTGTCATTTATTTTATAGACATACAATAACAATTTCAAAAAGTCCAAACTATGGTTGTTTTGTGTAAGTCTTATACATACGATGGTATGTCGGTGTATTTATGGATCGATGTGTACACACTTGTACGTGTTTTAACCAAAATTAGGCAAAAGTGGCGTCCCCTTGTTTAACCGTACAGAAGTGTTGGATAAATGGCAAAGAATTTCATTGAGTGCGTGTAATAAGTTGGAAGAGTATATATGTGGTCTGCAGTCTCACTAGGTATTTCCTGTAAGACATGCAAACATATAACAAAACTCAGTCATAAACTTACCGACATCAGCAAATGGCCATATCTAATACACCGCTTCTGCGACGAACACTCCACCGCCGCTGCGATAGATCCACCGCTTCAGCGAAAGCTATGGCAAGTGTGATAATGATGCCATTTTTGAACATTTTTTTGCATAAACCTTCATTCCCTTGTATCTAATACTTCAATAGTATTATTAACTCGGTGCGAAAATTCCTATAGGATAGTATATCTTATTCCTATACTTCCAGGTTTATCTGACTAATATTAGCGCATCATAATAGCATGAAAAACGCCTAATGTAAATGCGGTGATTAATCATTCAGTTATTTATTACTAAAGTGGGGTCGTACCACCACCACAACCACCCTCAACAACAATAACAACCAGCAACATTAATGTTTGAATGAAGACAGATCAATGAACATTGTACATCGGCTCATTAACCCGTTGAACTTAAGTAGCCGAGGGGGAATTCTTTTTCGGCAGATTTGTAGATTTACATTACACGTAGCAGCTATAAGTATCTTATTTGACTGTGTTAAATAGCATAAAATAATGTAGAGGGTGAAAACAATTATTGTTACGAATATTTAATACATGTTCATGTAAATGAAGGTTTGTAAGTACATGTAAGAACGTATGCAACATTTATTTCATTTTGTTATTAACAAAACTGCCGCCACATTAATGTTTAAATGTCTAATTAAATACACAAATATGAACAAACATTCAGCATGAAATATTGCATGACACTTTCAAGACACTTTACACTTGGCAAGGGTCAGGATGTTAAGTAGTTGCAAACTTGGTCCAAGAGAGAAAATTGGTTGCAAACTTGACAAAATGGCTACCGAGTCATGAATATTTACAACGGTAGCACATATTTTCTTCAGGTAAGTGGGTTTGTGTTTTTTGCTTTTCATTTATGAATTGAGATATATGCAATTGAAATAATAGAAAAAAACGCACGTGCATTATAGCTGTTGAACCGGAAAAATATAAGAACAAAAATTACAGTGCGAAGCGACATTAAAAACATGCAACCCACAACATAATACAGTCACACTGGGCTACCGCAAAATATTCAGTAGGGTACTGAACAAAAAGCAGGAGAGGACCGTAAGTCGGGACACAGAGTAGTCGTACCAGTAAATGATAACAATCAACAACTAAATAAAGAAACCCCTTAATGTCTAAGCCATTTAAAACATTTAAAGAGCAAGTGAAATAACACAATGTATAAATGTTCAAGAAATTTCTGTGACTAATCAATATGATCTTCGTTGAATCCTTTGGCAGTTTAATAATTATTTGAGTGAAAAAAAAATGCAAGCAGAAATACGTGAACTACAAGTTTGTAACAAGATATGTTTTTGTATTGAACTTTATTTGGAACATGCAAATTTAAACATTTACACAGAATTTGTCTTGTTTGGTGAACTTTAAAACTTACCGATGCGAATAAATGAGCATAAAAATCGCATTGGACTGTCACTTGTCAAATCTCTAAATATGATGATAGCAAGGTTATATCTTCAATAACTTCGTCATATCTGAAGCTAGGAAGCAGAGACCTTAATCCGATTGTGCCATAAACACTGCTTTAAAGAATAGGCATATTAAAGAATTTCAAAATAACTTAAACCCATTTACCTGAAGAAAGTACGTGCGACCGTTGTATATATTCATGACTCGGTAGCCATTTGGTCAAGTTTGCAACCTCTTTTCTCGCTTGAACCAAGTCACCGTGTATATCCAGTAACGCCGGAATGTGAAAATAACACACGATTCGTGCAATATGTACAATATATTTTTTATTTAACCGGACTGAAAAATAAAGATTTTTATTTTTTATCCCTCATTAAGATTATTTCCATGAAATTGCTTACTTTCCGAGATCATTCGTAAAAATAAATGATGGCTTGACCACAGTTTTGAGCGTGATTTTGGCTTTTTGTCGATTTATATAAGTATAACAATGCATATTATACCGTATAATTTTGATTTTCGGTAAGTAAGTGGCATTTACTAAACTTCTGGTGACATAGAAAATTGAAAATAAGCTGATAAAATGTCATCGTCACCTCATAAAATCGGGTTGAATCACATTTTATCAGTTAATGATTTTGAAAAGTAAGCAATTTCGTGCCAATAATCTTGATGAGGGATAAAGAATTATGTTTTTATGCTGACGAATGCTGCTATTCCTATATCTTTCTGTATGTTTAAATAGAATTATATTGGCCAGTTTATTTACCGCGTTGGAAATCCTGTCAGGTATCTGCCATTTATTGCACAATTCTGCGTAACTTATTGCACGAATCGTGCGTTATTTTCACATCCCGGCGTTACTTGATATACACGGTGCAAGTGTGCAACCACTTCACGTCCTGCCCCTTGACTAGACGGACACATGTTTATCAAACCCGTTCGAGTGCGTTCATTATTATAATATTTATCAAACGGTTGTTTAACTAATTGGTAAATGTATAAATGTTATACAGAACAAGGTTGTTTATAACTGGCCTGTCTTTAATGAACCTTTTTTTAGCGATCAAAGTTTGTTATTTGACTGTAAAGGAAGCCGCCCAACATCAACGTCAACATCAGCACGTGTTAAAGAACATTTTACTAATTTTGCTATCAATTATATTTTTTTTTAAATTTTAATGTTGTGAAAAGTTATTCAGGTCGTGGGCTCAAACAACTCAGGTCTTGGGCTCAAACCACTGGAATACAAGATCGCCTTCACCAACCAGAATAGCAATACTACTATCGTGCAATGTTTGCAATTTATTTGTATGAAAAAAAAAATGATATAAACACAATTTGGATAGTAGCCTAGGTAATCCACATCTACAACACATGAATTTTTTATTCGCAAAAATTCGCCATTTCCTTGTATATGCTTTTGGGTAACAAGATGTACATAATATTGCTCAAAGTCAAGTCATATAAACGCTTATTTGATTTTTATTCCGCACGGAAGAAAGCGAAATTTCCCGATTATTTACGAGATTGTCAACTCACCATCTATTTTGGTCATTTTGGTTCAGCATGGCGACTGTGTAGCCAAAGTAACTTCCGGCATTGGTTCCATCAAGTTCTATTCTACTATCAGTGTCCAGATTAAATCCGTTTATTGAATGAAACAGCGTTAAATAAAGCATGAATTTTACCAGCACGAAAGAGCTATGGCATCGGAATGGTGATAGGCCTGAATATGATTTTGAACACATAATCATATGGTGGAATTAATTAACACCGTATCACGTGTATCAGTATCACGTATATCAGTTATAATATTATATGACTTAAGCTCATATGACTGATTTTACTCCGGATGTGACCTAAATTGCTCCGGATATCGAAAATTTAAAATTGTTAATTTAGATATAATCAATTGAAATTATATACTTGCTGACAAATGCCGGATATGATAAAACCCGGATATCATAACCTTATAAATCATGTTTATTACAAATAAATACATTTTAGAGAGATACTGCCATGAGTTTATATATCAGAACAATATCAAGTATATCACGATCAAAACTGTCATAGAATGTCTAGGACATTTTGAACCAGAATAATTACTCAACAGGCTCAATCTATATTCGTCTTCGGAATAATTGCCACCTACGTAAAACCCCCCTTTTTAAGAGGAACCATAGATTCGTTGGCATATACAAGGAAAACCTCCTCAGACTATTCCTCGGAATATTGAACAACGGACAGTTATTATGCCAATAAACGTATATAATAAAAAATATACATACAGCTCAATAAAGAATAACGTTCTGTTTATTAAGCAAAATATTCTTCTAATGAAATAGTACAATGTAGCGTGATATTCAATGTAGTATCGCTTCAAACCATGTATAACAATGTAATAATAACCACCATTATATCAATACGTTTTTAAAACAATTAATATGTGTTTTATTTAAACATGGATTAAGTTAATTATGACATCTGATAAACAATATTTTGTTTTGTACCGTCATCGGTTACAGGTTATCTAATGACAATTCTACACATATCCGAAAGTCACACATTTTTGGAGTTACATTCCACGGGTGTTCGAAATGAAAGTGTTTATGTTTATACACAGGTCAGTTAATGTAAACCGAGGTCCGTTTCAAATGATAAGGGTCTGGCAGTCGACGTTGGTAAACTTCCGGATGTCGCAAACCCAATATGGACTGTTGAAATGATAATTTCCTGCCATCATGATGAAGGGCTTAGTACCGCGACGACCATTTTTTGTTGGAACTGCATTGGTTACCAATTAAAGCTAGGATCAATTTTAAAATTCTATGTACAATGTATAACTGTTTTATTGGCAATGCTCCGGTTTATCTAACAGAACTGTTACACAAACCTGTCATAAAAAGACCAAATCTCAGATCTGTTGATAATATGGATTATTGTTTTGCTGTCCCCTTTAACAAAAGGGAAACATTTAACGACAGAAGTTTTAGTACCGTTGGTCCAACTCTCTGGAATAAATTGCCTCTGTATATAAGACAGTCTTCGACTTTGGACATGTTCAAGAAAAATGTCAAAACCTACTATTTTAGAGATTTTCACGCATTGTTTTAAGATTGTGATTGGGCTGTAAACTGATAGAGATGTGGAAATATGTTTAAAATTTTACTGAAATAACCATTGATTTTTATTTTCTTTTAAATTATTTTTTATTGTTATTTTTATAACTATTTTTTTTTTCTTTTTCAAAGTTTTTAATACTTTATATTTTACACGGCTGATATCTTTAACATATTGTTTTGTAGTTCATTTGTCATGCATATGTGTTTTTTTATCTATATTGTACATACTTTTATTATCCTTTTGAACAATGCCATTGAATATGTGTATAGAAATAGGCGTTTAATTAAATAGAACAGTTTCAGTTTCAGTTTCATTATTATCTGAATGCAGAAAAAGTGACAACAGCAAGGCAAATGGGAAGGGCGGATAGAGTTTTTCCGTATTGGTTAAAGGTAGCTTCAGTAGACTGGATCGAATAGGTATTTTCAGAAGCGTTCTCAGTTTATATACCAGTCTTCTAAGCATGCGCGAACGAGATTGAATGACTTGTTAGGAGGAGCCAGATATACAGGTCATTGCAAAAGTACTGTGACGTATAGCGTAAAAATAAAGAGTTTAAACTCAGGCGCTTTAACGTTTATATCTTTATTTTCTTTTTTCTTATTCATTGTTTCAACAAAAGAACTGTCACTATCACTATCCGAACTAGTTTCACTAAGAGAAGTGCAGAACTTTTTCCATGAACGCCTTCTTTTTCTCGAATTTGTCACCTTTTTCTTTGGCACTACAGAGCTCTCTGAAAGACTAGTTTCACTAGAGGACTCACTTGAACTTAAGCTTGAACTTGAGGATGAAGTGTCCGATTTTTCAATATTATTGTTCATTTTATGTTTGTTAATTTCTTTGGTTTGTTTTTGAGTTTAACTTTCAGAGTCGGTATCAACAAAATCAAGTTCCTCATCACTTATTTCTTCAAGATCCATATGTTTTATTAGAACATTTCTTTTTGGACTTTTTACGGGAGAAATTGGGTTTTTAATCATTATTTTTAGGTCTGCATCAATGTCCATATTTGTTATATCACTACTTTTCACACTTTCTGTATTATTATTCACAGGGGGTAGGCCCATATTCAGTTTGCAATCTTCTTAATTCTGTAAGGAATCCAGATTTCACTTTTTGTATTAAATTAGGCATTTTACTCTTTTTCCATTCGATTAGTTTAGCCACAGCTCCCTCTCGCTCTCCCTCTGGATCCATTAAAGCAAAATCTTGGATTTGTAAGTTAAAGCACTGATTGTGATTGTAACATCTTCGTGAGAATAATTTTCTGCACTTGAAACATTGATAGTTAAAGTGGCTGTGTTTTTCAATAACAAGTCTGGATGCCAAATAAAACTTCAAAAACACCATATTGCGGCACACCACACACACCCACTAAAATGTAAAATAAAATCACTCATTTTAGGAACAATAATCTAAACAAGTGGCATACTTTATATAGGTCAGATATGCATATAATTTTTTCTTTCTTTTTATTTATTTATTTATTTTTATTTATTTATCGATATACAGTCGAGACTGCCTAAGCGACCCCCTGATTTAAACGACTCCCTGTCTTATCCGACCTTGTTTCAGTACTCCCAACGTATTTTCCTATATAAATGGTCTGAATTAAACGACTCCCTGTCATATGTGACAAGCGACCCTAATTGTCTGGTCCCAATGCAATGTTTTGTCTGATTTAAACGACTTTCACACCTTTTAATTGTCCGTTAATCAGATAAAGATTACCTATTATAACACCCATAGGGCCAAAATAATTAAGTCCAATTATAATCCAGCACTGTAGCAAACAAAGTCTACACACCTCTATCTCAATTACACAGTTAGCATGTAGATATATGCAGGTACCAAGTGACGTAGCGCCGGTGCATGTTTTTATAAATGCACTTTTTTATTATATTGACAATGACTAATGTAGATGTGAGTTCAAGTTTTATATAACACTTTATTCATCAGTGGTCCCTTCGTATCGTTTAGGTCGGTCATGGTGGACAACTTTCGGTTTCGAACGTTTGTTTAACTGTATGCGGTACACTACATCATTTTTATTTTCTTTTTAA